GCCCCCCAGCCTGGGCCCGCCGGGGGGCCGTTTGCATTGAGGCTGCTGCGTCCCTGGAGTGGTCCCCGGGTCCCCGGGATGGAGGGGAGGGGGCCGTGGGGGTGTGTCCCCCCGCCGGTCTGCCTGCCGGAGCATACATCAAACCACGCTGCACGCAGAGCCAGCCCTGAGACGCTGGTGGGCAACGACAGCGATGGAGCGCGAAATGCCATTAACGTTATTCCTGTTATATCAAATAATTTAGTTAAAACAAGTGAAATAAATGCGAGGCTTTCCGCGGGCAAGGAGGCAGCGTGGATCCGACCCCGGCGCAGCCACCTCCGTTGCAAAGCACAAAGCAGAGCGCAGGGGGTTGTATTTAAGATATTTTTCTCTCTGCGTTCGCCGGGCAAACCAGTGGGTTGACTGGGACACCTCCTGGTGTCCCGTGTTTCCCCCCCCCCCCCCTTTTTTTTTTTTTATTATTGTCATTGTTGTTATGCACAGGGGAGAGCAGCCAAGTCGATGCGAGTTCTGCACATCTGTGTGTGCACACACGGACCCGTGTGCGTTTGGCTGGTGCCGTTCATCTACGGACAGATCTGAAGCAAAAAATAGGTCTCTTGTTAAAAAAAAGAAAAAAAAAAATTCTCCGGAAATGTGGAGGAAGATATTGTATTATCTGCAGCAGCTGGTTGCTTGTTGAAATTAAGCTGTGCTGCTGCCTCTAAGGAGAAAGCTGTGTTTGTTAGCTTGTGAGTAGGTACATATACGTATATATACATGTGAGTATGTGTATATATATGTATATACATGTTTATATAAATAACCATTTATATATAAAACGTTTCATAAACGTACATACGTGTTTATGAAATAAATGAGAACGATTTACTTTGCAATACCACCAAACGTACCTCCTCTCGGGGCTGATGCTGTGCTGCGTGCCATCGTCTGTGCCAACGGCTTTCACATTGCTCTGAGACAGGTTTAACAAATGAAATGTGGAAAATGTGGCTAATGCCGACCTGCAACCCTGGTGCTGTTCTCAGCAGCACACCGGGGCGGGGAGCAAAGAACCCAGGTGTTTTCAGAGCAAGAAGGAGAAGAGGGACCTATGGAAGCTGTAGATACATTTTTTAAAAATTTATTTATTCTACTGTTGTTAATGCGACACCAGCTTAAATGCCAGCAATAAATATGGTCTGAAGGGCACTGGGATTGTAACTATCTAACCTTGTGAATGGTAAAATAAGCTGCCTTCACTTGAGATACGTGTCAGTACCCCGAAGTATTTTTAAATAATGTTGTTGAAGGCTGTAACAATACAATTTCCTCCTGTGCTCTTTTCCTCTTCCCCCCCCCTTTCTTTCTTCCT